GGTTTCTTGGCGTTACCTCAACCAAGCAGTGTGGATTTGCATTGCGTTAGGCACTGAGGTGGCAGTGTGCAGGGGGTGTGTGGTTGTATACAGAGACTGCGCCGTTGTGTGCCGCGGACCGAGCACACAGGGCTTTTGGCCCCTGGAACCGATTCCCCATGAGGCTGAGGGACGATGTCTTACCCTTCGGATGACACTCAGTTTTTTCCATTTCTAAAAAAGTTGAAACGTTTCTGCCTAAAAGAACAGTGGGCCTGCAGCCCATGGACCCCGTGTGGAGGGAGTCCAACCTGCCTTTGGGGGTGTAGGCCACAGCTAAAGATGAGATGGCTTCCGACAGAGACATGTGCCGTGACACAGAGTGCAGGCCACGGAGATGGGGCAGGCAGGGACACCGGGGCGGAGAAGGTCCAGGGGAAAGCAATACCTGATAGTGCGAAGGCAGGTGGTACTGCAGTCAGACGGGTGCGGCAGAGGCGCAGGAATGGGGCTGGTTGGGCAGGACCAAGCGGGCCCACAGCAGACACAGCCGAGGACTGGAGTCCAGACAGGACAGACAGCTAGGAGCCCGGGGAGGGGGAACTGCGGGGACCCTGAATTCACATCACAGCCCAACCTAGGGCCTGCCTGGCTCTCCCCGTGTGCATCCGTCCTGCAAGGCCTGTGGGCTGCTCTGCTCTTTTGAGGTTTTTGGTTTTTTTGCTTTGTAGCCCAGTCTGGCCTTGAATTCTTGGCAATCCCCCTGCCTCAGCCTCCCAGTGCTGGGATTACCCTTGCTCTGGAGGCCGGTGATTGTCCAGGAGCAGGGGGCAGGCACAGCACCCATCTGAAGGGGTCTGGACCCGAGGATGGGTGCCAGCAGTGTCTCCCTCAGATTTCCTTGTAGAGTGGAGTTGGGAATTGGAATCTGCTGCTCAGCGGTGCTGGGTGTTACCCTACGATTTTGAGCAGAGAAACAGCACGCCTTGAATTTCTCCTGAATGATTCCTCTGACTTGGTGGACAGCAGTCACACAGGGCCATGGGACTGGGCGGTGGTAGGAAGATGCAGAGGCTGCCGCAGTTGAAGAGGCCCCGGGCACCGCAGTGACAGCAGGAAGGCAGCGCCCAGCATGGCAGTCAGTGCCGGGAGCCACAGGCTCCACTGCCGACCACTCTGCTCCCTGTTTCGCTGTTGCTGCCCGGACTCGGCCTCCTGCTCCCTCAAGCTGCCCTCCTCCCGAGGCTGGAGAAGGAAGGGGTGGCCGCGCACAAAGCCCCCATCTCCATACCCACCCGGTCTTTCTCTGCTGCCTTTTCTCTCCCCACAGTCAAGCTTCGATCCCCACCACCGCTCCCAGCCAAGTTACGAGCGTCCTTCCTTCCTGCCTCCAGGACCCGGACTCATGCTCCGCCAAAAATCTATCGGTAGGTCTTCAAGGGCCGGCCGGTGAGGACGGGATCCTGCCCAGGAAGGCAAGTGTGCCCGTAAATGTCTTATGCTCAGGCCTGTGTCTGGGCAGAGCTTGGGGCCTGGAGCTGAGCGTCTGGGCTCCTCCTCTGGCATCTAGAAAGCGGGGACAAGCCCTGTGCTCAGGCATGGGCTGGGGCTCCCAACCTCAGCGCAGAGTTGATAAGAGGCAGTGACTGAGGCCAGATGCTGCAGGAAAGCGCAGTCCGAGAGTCGAGAGCCAAGGTCTGACCCTGAGAAACAGGCAGGCTCAGCTCCTCTAGCGCCCAGAGCTTTGCCCTTGTCTTTGCCCATTGTTTTCCCGACTCCAGCGAACTCTGCTTTTTCTGTGTGGCAGCTGCTCCTATAAACAGCCACATCTCGGGCTGGGGATGTAGCCCAGTGGTAGGGAGCTTGTCTAGCAAGCGTAAGGCCGCGAAAGGTTCAATCCCCAAGCCAAAAGAGCTTGTCTGCTATCTGCTACGCCTTGAGGGGTTGTACCTGTGAAATCATAGGCCCAGGATCACCGCGAGCCCTTCCCAGCTCACCCCAAGGCGTCAAAGTATGCGTTTGCCTTTGTGCAAATTAGAACGGGGCGCCCTCTCGCGTCTGGAGGTGGAAATTCAGCTGAATTTCGCCCCCCCTCCCGCCTGCTCCCCCTGCTGTTTGCTGTTGAGC